TGCAAGAGCCAACATTACTGAATGCAATATGAGGGACACAACTGATTCTCTCCAAAGTGATCTGTGACAATGCAAATGCAAACAAAGTTTTAAGAGTTTCCTTTCTTCTTTTTGGGTACTGGGGACTAAACCTGGGGACAGTTTACCACTGAGCTGCATTTCCAGCCCCCTCTCCCCCTTTTTAAATTTTAAGATAGGGTCTAAATTGCTAAGGCTATCTTTGAACTTATGATCCTCCTGCCTCAGCCTTCTAAGTCACTGGGATTACAGGTTTACACCACAATGCCCAGCTAATTTTTAAGTATTTCTGTATGCGACTAATCTGATTTTAAAATATATACATATGAACTCATGTCCTTCAATTTTGGGACATGTGCTTGAATTTCATAAAGATAATTTCATGTATTTCTTCCAGGAAGCTGTTATTTTAAAGGCACTAGAAAAGCTGGATATCACTATGGGGGAAAAAGAAAAAGTCACAAGCCTATATAATTGCAGACTTCAGAACTGATTTGAGATGAAACAAAAACATAAATGGGAAACCTGAGTGATAAATGTTCTTGGAAGGAAACAGAAGACTATCTCCACTGCCTGGAGGTGGACCTCAGATTTCTCAGAGGGGATGCAAAAAGCTCAGATGATAAATGAGAAAAAATTGGTAAGTGGAATTTATCAAACTAACTTTCTGCTCTTCCAAACATTGATTAAAAATGAATAAGCAACCACTGGAAAAAATATTCATAGTAATTATGTATGGCAAAGGACCTGTGCTCAAGATGTGTAAAGATCTACCAAAATTGATAGTTAAAAAGACAATCCAATTTTTAAATGGGCTAAAGATGAAAAGATATTAATAAAAGAAATATAAACAATTAATAGCACAAATAAAAAGTTAACAAAGCATTAATCAATAGGAAAATGAAAATTAAAACAGGAAGATTCCACTTCCCATATGGAAGAATGTTTTAATACATAAGATTCACAAGAGCTGGGAAGGTAGCTCAGCGTCAGAACACGTGCCCAGCATGTGTTAGACCCTGGGTTTATCCTGGCAAGGATGATGGGTCTTTCATTCATTGTTGGGGGGAATGTCAAGTAATAAAATCACTTCAGAGAACTCTTAGGCAATTTCATAAAACTTTCAAGCCTATGTCTACTTCATGACCACATAATTCTACTCCTAAACATTTATCCAAGGGTAAAAAATATGACCATCAAAAAAAGTATACAGATTGAGTTTCTCTTACCTGAGCTGTTTGTTAGCAGAAGTGTTTTGGATTTAAGGTTTTTGTTTTATTTTTGATTGTGAAATATTTGCATAGTCTTAATTAGACATCTTGGGGAGGAGACCCAAGTCTAAACACAAAATTCATTTGTTTCATATATTCCTGATATACATAGTCTGAGGATAATTTTATACAATTCTTTTAGTGAGCCTGCATTTTGACTGTGAATAGTCACATAATATCAGGTATATATCAAGTATACATATTTTTCTAGAATATTATAGTAGAAAAGATAGAAAATGAAGGAGAGGAAATTATCAAGGAAACAATTCAACAGCATCTGTTTCCAGTCTAAAAGGGCCATTGAGTATCTGAACAATGGATAAAAATAGACCTACACTTAAAACCTCAGTGTCAAATTCCATTATATTAAGGCCAAAAAGAAAAACCCAAAACAATCTTGGGGTTGGGGAATGATTCCATCCATGGATCCAGAATCAGAATGACAACTAACTTCTCATCAGTGATACTGGACATTCAAAGTAAAGTCTATGAAAATAAGAGAATGATTTCTAACACATAATTCTATACCTGTGAAACTTCTAATGAAGTGTAAGAATGAAGATTTGACATTCAAAACCTCTAAAATATTTATCTCCCCAAAACTCTTTCTTAGGAATCCTGTAGCTTGCAGTGTTTATAGATAGTTTTTTGTTGCTATGACAAACACATGAGGAAGATTTAGAGAAGGAAAGATTCATTTTGGTTCATTACTTCAGAGGTTTCCATCCATGGTCAGTTGACTTGAAGGCACAAACGTCATGGTGAAAGGATGGAAGGAGAAAGCTGCTCACCAAGTGGCAGCCATCAAGTGAAGAAGGGGCCAGGGACAATTGTGCCCTCCTTTCAGGGCATGCTCTCAGTGACCTACTTCCTACAACTAGGCCCAGTCAACCCTTTAGTTTCTACTACCTCTCAATAACGCCATCAAATACAGATCCCTCAGTGGACCAGAGCTCTCATGATTCAGCCATTTCCCCAAATCCCCACCTCTGAATACTGCTACGTTGGTAACCAAGGCTTCAACACATGAGTCTTTGGGGGATGTTCAAAATTCAAACTCTGATACTTGTTTTTTTCATTCTCTTTATAGTGTATTTTACAGATCAGAGCTTTTTAATTTTAATGAAATCCAAACTGATCAATTCTTTTTCATCAATCATGCTCATAATAAAAATGTCATCACCATACCAAGATTCCCAAGATTTTCTTCTATATTATCCTCTTATTGGCTTGCATTTCACCCTTAGGTATATAACTTATTTTGTGCCAATACCGGCATGTAAGGTCTGTGTCTATCTATATTTTACATGTGGATGTCCAGCTGTTACAGCACCAATTATTGAAAAATCTGTCCTTTACCCAACAAATTGCCTTTGTTTCTTTGTCCAAGATTGGTCAACTATATTTGTGTGCATATATCTTATTGCTACCTAATCTTTTCCATTGAACTATTTATATTTTTCCCCTAATATTAAACTACCTTGATTAATGTAGTTTTACAGAAAGTCTTGAAGTCAGTAGTGTCAGACCTCTTACTTTGTTCTTCTCTTTCAATACTGTGTTGACTATTCTCAGTGTTTTGCTTTTTTTCCCATAATTTTTTAGAAAGTTTATCAATATCCACAAAATGCTGGTATTCTGACTGAGATTCCATTGAATTCAGAAATCAAATTAGGAATAATTGACATTTCAATGCTATTGAATCTTTCTATGCATAAACTTGGACTATCAGTTAACTTATATAGTTCTTTGTTGACTTCTTTCATCAGAATTCTGTAGTTTTCTTCATATAGAAGTTATATAAATTTTGTTAGTTTTACACCTAAATATTTTTTGGGAGTGCTACTGTAAATGGTATTGTGTTTTTAATTTAAAATTCCACTTGTTCATTGCTGGTATACAGGGAAGTGATTTTTATATATTATTCTTATATCCTGCAACCCTCTCTAGTGACTTATTAGTTCCAAAAGTTTGTTGATTCTTTCAGATTTTCATTACCTGCCTTTTTACACTCTGTTATTATTCTGATTTTAAAAAACTAGTAAAACAGATATGCATTAGTTTTCTAAGACTGCCATTACAAAGTACCATAGACTGGGTGAGTTAAATGACAGAAATTTATTATCTCACAGTTCAAGGAGCCAGAAGTCCAAGAATAAGCTCTATGTTGGTTCCTTCTTGGGGCTGAAGGAAAATATGTTCCTGGCCTCTCATTAGCTTCCAGGTGGTTATCTTCTTGGGTCATTCCATAGTCTTTCCCCATGTGTGTCTATTTCCTAATCTCCTCTTCTTGTAAGGACACCAGTCATATTGATTTAGTCCATCCTAATAACGTCACTTGACCTTAATTATCTTTTTAAAAAGACTTCCCCCTCTCCAAATATAGTCACATTCTAAAGTACTGTGGATAAGAACTTCAAAACATGTGTTTTCAGAGAAAGTGATTCTGCCTATAAGAGGAATATTCATTGAAAAGTAAAAAATACATTCAATGGCAGTCATTTACTCCTTAATTCAAAGAACCTTAGGAGTTCATAAGATTTTTAAAACATCAAGTCATATGAGAAAAATACAGAAAGGGAATGGGGGATATATAGGTTCTATAGGACAAATATGTCAGTACAGTCTCATATCTCTAAGAAGAAAATGTCTTCCTTCTCATCTGTCTTCTATCAACTCATTCCCCAAGCCAGAATGGTACCATAGGCATTCATTATATTGTAAGTTAAATAGGCTTACTGAGCTTACCTGGAAATCTAATCACAATGCATAATGTTATTTCCCTGGAAAAATGTGTTCCAAGGAAGTTGGAGATCTGACCTGTGGCGCAGGAGTCTGACTGTGGGACTGCTGGGCCTGCCTGTCGAGATTCAATTGAGGGAGTGTTATATGATATAAACACTGGGAATTAAATTTCTTTTCTCAAGGTTCTTTAGCTGAACTAACAGATCAATCAGCTTTCAGCAACAGAATCATGTGAATGACAAATACCTAGTGAGAAACTATTACTAAAGAGATAGGGAACTGATCCTTAAAATGGAAATTCAGGAACCCAGTTTGGTTTGGACTAACACCTATACATTCATGTATTTATTGGGAAAAAAAGCAGCTCTACCCATATGTGTTTGTATTTCATGTGGTCTATTCGTTTGACTCTTATACAGTAGTTTCCCATTAAGTTAACATAGCTGCATTGCTAGGAAACCAGAGTTGGTAGTACTGTCATTGTAGACACTCCTACTGACCAAGTGATCTTGGGTAGGGCTGTCAGTGGTACAAACATATGCTAAAGACCAATATTCAAGGAACATCAAGCACTGTTCCCAAATGGTACCAAGGTCATCCGGGGTCAGTACAACCACTGAGGACAGATGACAGAGATCCAGGCTACTTTCTCATTCTGGTTGAGCCCAAACCTCCTACAGTCTAACCTCTTCATCCAGAAAAGAACAAGAAAATGAACTCAAGACACTGTAGCTTAGTGTGTGGCTAGAGAGTGCTAATACTGGCTTTCCTTTACAAGTTGATTCTGAACACACCAGCGTGTGTGTAGAATGATACCTGTCCCATTGACCACTGCTGTCAAGACTTTTGCAAAACTCGATCACCAAAGAGAAGCCCGAGGCTAAGAGGATACATTTTCCTGTGTAAATACAAATCACTGAGGAAAACCTGAGTATCTAAACCATCCTTACTTACAGACAATCTCACCTGTCAAATGATGAATATGCCTGTGTTCCACTTTCTCAGAGGTTGTCTTCCGGAATGGTGTTTCCAAGGGCAAAAGCTGGGGTGTTTCCTTTTCTTGGTCACTGGGAACATTAGGAAAAAGTCTCTTCAGCACCTTTTCAACAAACACTATAAAGGCAAGCAAATAATAAAATAAATGCTTTACTATGTTTATTTAAATCAAACAGGGCTTTCATTTGAAATAAAAAGAAATCCTCACCACTTGAGAGTCAAGCAACTGGCTCCCCACACTGGTCACTGGACACTAGGGAACACCTAAACACAGACTCTCAAGCCACCACCGAGACATACTCTGGAAATCACCTCCATTCCTTGCCCTTCAGAAGATATCCACTTTGCTGCCTGTTGGTGCCCTACAGGGCACACCTCACAGGCCATCAGGGAGGCCAGGCCTACCCCAGGTTAAACGCACAAAGATGTGCACCTGCTCTGCATAGACTCTGATCTTTCATCTTCTGTTGAATTTCTCCTATAGGGTAGCTCCTGAACCACCACAAAGTGGGGTTTGGCTCTGGGAACTAGGTACCTTCTAGGCTGGTCAGTCTGCATGAAGGCCACACAGTTTCTAGTCAGGCATAAAGCAGACCACCTCTGAGGAGACCAACAGGGTTCTGATGGGCACCACCCTCTCCCACCATATGTTTTTCTCCTGGCAATCATAATCAAGGAACAATTTTATAAAGGTCACATGGTTCTACCATGTATGTGGAAATTCTTCACTTTATTTTAGTTTACATTCTGCTTTAACTGGAGGTGGGATGGGACTATCCTAATGAATACGTCTTTACACATTAACTAAATTGTGGTTTATAAACAGCTAAGACCTCAAAACAGTATACTGGAAAAGGTGAAAGAGGAAGGCTGATAAAAGGAGTTCCTTTTTAACCTCATTAAATTTAGAAACTTTAAAAAAAAAAAAGTAGCTTCGGAATCACCACAAATTCTGTGGCAGAAGTCAGAGGGCCTCATATAGGTGTCTCCATGTGCACAGCGGAGCGGTAGGTAATGATCAGCAAAATGAAGTCCCAAGAGAGAAAATGAGAGTGGCTTCCAGGGAAAGTAGAGGGGATTTCCTGGGTTCTACACAAGAACACTCTACTTAAACACATCAGTCTTCCTAATTTCATCATCTACTCAGAGAATGTGTTAGAAGTAATTCCTTCAACATGTGTTTCAGCTGTAAAGAATACAATGTGGGTTTAAAAAACAAAAGGGCTCTTTGCACCCTGATAACAAGAACTTCCAGTGGCTTCTTGTATCATCTATTAAAACACAAACTGCTCAGTGAGGGACACAGGTAAGCACTAACATCATGAATACAGAATGGCTAATAATCTGAATCTCTACAGCTCAGTGGATCCTGATGAGTAAGAGGGTTCCTTTCAGTTGGAGCAAAAAAACCTCTAGTTAGGTGTAAAATGTGAATTTAATGATAACGATCACTTAAGCACTCAGAACTGATGAGGTCCTGGCAACAAAAGAGTGCCCACATACTATTAAAAAAATATTATATGAAATCATTATTAGCATACAGAACCTTGCCAAAGTGTGGTTTCCCATACAATCTACGGAGGTTGAGCAGAGTCCAGGACAGAAAGGCTTCATGTTGAACAACCCACATGAAATGTGATCACCCAAGCTGGAGAGCACACCTTGGTCATGGGGAAGAGACAGGTGGTCTGTGCAATATTTTAAAAAATGTACTATAGTTCTCAAAAGTATATCAAAAGGAAAGTTCAAAATTCCACACAATAAAAGTCATGTATATTTCCTTTAAATGGCAAAGAAGGAAATGTCCCAGGGGCAGGGATTGTGGCTCAGAGGTAGAGTGCTTGCCTAGCACGCATGAGGCACTGGGTTCAATCCTCAGCACCACATAAAAATAAAATAAAGATATTGTTTCCACCTATAACTAAAAAAATAAACATTAAAATATAAGAAAATGTCTCATTTGAAATGACAGTGACAATCTCTAGAGGAAATTAAAAGCAGATAAAGTATACTTTATTTACAGACTATCACTGAATAAAAATTTTCATGAATTAGAACAAATTCTAAGATAAAACGTAAAAAGGCATTGGTTTTACAAAGGAGGAGGGCAGAGAAGCTTAGAGCTTAAAAGACTTGCCAGAATGGCAGCAGTTAAAAAAGACATCTAGCTGAAATCATATCTATGTTACCACTTCCTCCATGTGCACAATTCATGTGCCTGTGCATGCAGGAAATTATGAAAATATAATGGTCCAGCAATTCCAAGCAACACCTGTGGCCAACCAGCTGCCTAGTGCAGAAGGATGCAATACAAAGCCTTATAACAATCCCAAAGAAAAAGCATAGTTCCAGTCTCTGTGGGCAAACAGATCACCACTGGGAAACGCTGAACCAAAATTTTGCTTAAACAAGAAAGCCAATGCTTAAAAAAACTGTAACACACAGTATGAGGACAAAAACATGCAACATCTGGCCCAATTTGTCTACCAAGGCTTTTGACACAATTTCTGGGTTGAAAAACAAAACATAAGAAAATGCTATGTAACAAAGATTAAGGAGCATTTTCATTGAATTCAATTTATTACCCCAAATAAATTATATTTACAGCCTAATTAATGGTAGTTTTCCAATAAAACTACTAAATACTCCAAATTAAAATATTTAATAAAGATGTATCAACATCATAAAAATTTTAAAAGTAAAAGTCATGGGGCTCAGGCTGTGGCTTAGTGGCAGAGCACTTGCCTAGCATGCATGAGGCACTAGGTTCGATCCTCAGCACCACATAAAAATTGACAAATAAAACAAAGGCATTCTGTCCATCTACAACTACAAAAAATTTTTTTCAATTTATCATTTTTTTATTTATATATGACAGCAGAATGCATTACAATTCTTATTACACATTTAGAACACAATTTTTCATATCTGATTGTAGATAAAGTATATTCTTACCAATTCGTGTCTTCATACATGTACTTTGGATAATAATGTCCACCATCATTTCTAACCCTCTGCCCCCCCACCCCTCTGCCCTATCTAGAGTTCATCTATTCCTCCCATGCTCCCCATCCCTACCCGACTATGAATCAGCCTCCTTATGTCAGAGAAAACATTAGTTTTTTTGGGATTGGCTAACTTCACTTAGCATTATCTTCTCTAACTCCATCCATTTACCTGCAAGTGCCATGAATTTATTCTCTTTTATTGCTGAGTAATATTTCATTTTTCTTATCCATTCATCTATTGAAGGGTATCTAGGTTGGTTCCACAGTCTAGCTATTGTGAATTGTGCTGCAATAAACATTGATATGGCTGTGTCCCTGCAGTATGCTGTTTTTAAGTCCTTTGGGTATAGACTGAGGAGAGGGACAGCTGGGTCAAATGGTAGTTCCATTCCCAATTTTCCAAGAAATCATACTGCTTTCCATATTGGCTGCACCAATTTGCAGCTCCACCAGCAATGTATGAGTGTACCCTTTTTTCCCCCACATCCTCACCAACACTTATTGTTGCTTGTATTCTTAATAGCTGCCATTCTGACTGGAGTGAGATGATATTTTAGAATAATTTTGATTTGCATTTCTCTAACTGCTAGAGATGATGAGCATTTTTTCATATATTTGTTGACTAATTGTATATCATCTTCTGAGAAGTGTCTGTTCAGGTCCTTGATTCATTTATTGATTGGGTTACTTGTGGGTTTTTGTGTGTGTGTGTGTGTGTTTAGCTTTTTTATATTATTATTATTATCTACACATAACATTCCAATGATCTTGGCAATTCATACATTTGTATCATTGGGGTATAATTTCTCATTTTTCTAATTGTACAGATTGCAGAATCACACTGGTCATAGAGTCACCTATATATACCCTAGAGATTAGTGCTCTATCCGATGTGTGAGGGGTAAAAATTTGCTCCCAAGATGTAGGCTCTCTATTCACCTCACAGATTGTTCCTTTTGCTGAGAAGAAACTTTTTAGTTTGAGTCCATCCCATTTATTGATTCTTGGTTTTGATTGTTGCACTACAGGAGTCTTATTAAGGAAGTTGGGGCCTAATCCCACACGATGAAGATTAGGCCTACTTTTTCTTCTCTGGTTTTATTCCTAGGTCCTTGATCCATTTTGAGTTGAGTTTTGTACATGGTGAGAGATAGGGGTTTAATTTCATTTTGTTGCATATGGATTTCCAGTTTTCGCAGCACCATTTGTTGAAGAGGCCATCTTTTCTCCAGTGCATGTTTTTGACGTCTTTGTCTAATATAAGATAATTTTAATTTTGTGGGTTAGTCTCTGTGTCCTTTATTCTATACCATTGGTCTACCAGTCTGTTGTGGTGCCAAATACCATGCTGTGTTTGTTACTATTGCTCTGTAGTATAGTTTAAGGTCTGATATAGTGAGGCCACCTGCTTCACTCTTCCTGCTAAGGATTGCTTTAGCTCTTCTGGGTCTCTTATTTTTCCAGATGAATTTCATGATTGCTTTTTCTATTTATATGAGGAATGCCATTGGAATTTTGATTGGAATTGCATTAAATCTGCATAGTGCTTTTGGTAGTGTGGTCATTTTGACAATATTAATTCTGCCCATCCAAGAGCAAGGTAGATCTTTCCATCTTCTAAGGTCTTCTTTGACTTCTTTCTTTATGGTTCTGTAATTTTCATTATATAGATCTTTCATCTCTTTTGTTGATTCCCAAGTATTTTATTTCTTAAAAAATTTAAAAGAAAAGTACAAGTCATGATAATCTTAAAATCAGTCTATATTCACAGATTGACGGTTGGTGAGAATTTGCCAAGTATAATCAATAGGAAATACCACTATGGGAAATCACAATCACTGCCTTCTGTAATGCAGGCAATTCTCTCAGATGCATTCTAATCTCAACTATATGTCCTACAGAACCTAAAAGTCAAGCATAAATTTGCTAGCTTGCAAAGATCATGGAATCCATGGCCTTTGGAATCTCAACTTATTTGGTGTTGTAAGGGCAAAAGAAATTGAAGTTAAAGTGTAGAAGTTAAAGTGTAAAAGACCGGGCATTATAAAGTTTCTAAGCTGCAAGGCCTGAGTTAAAAAGTAAAGAACCAGGTATTGTTAAGTTCCTATG